CTTTGACGTACATTTCCACTTATTGAATGCTATATTCAGCAAAGAATCAGACCAACTACATCAAACCACCATTACTCAGCATGGCTCAGTTATTAATCTTAGATCTTCGTAAACCTTGTTCTACTTCCTAATCGCATAGTGAACTTCGTCAAAATATTTATATTATTTTACTTCAGATGAAAGTTTTGTTGTGTTGGATTGTAATTCAATTCTTTGAGTCAGATTATCAACTTTGTCATGATATATTCAAACGTGATGATTTAATGATGACTGTGCATTAATTGCATATAATTTAGAGACGATACATTCGGAAAAAAGTTTCGGCAACAAAAAAAGACTTTATAGTCAAAGATTAGAGAATATTTTTTAATTATTTTTATGAAAAGCCGTGTTTTCCAATATGGGAAGTTTTAAGTGCAAATGTCAGAAGAGTTTAAAGTGATAACACGGTTTCAGTGATTAGTCATGTTAGTTTTATATAAGTTGGTGTGAAATGTACATTTTCAAAAAATTGACCTGTGTGCGATTTGAAATTGCTCGTATGAGAAATTTTCTCTTGAAAAATTTCCATTAACTTTGTGAAATTAATATGTTATGATCATATTTATAGAACGAATGTATGTAATAAATTCATAGATTGTTAACGAAAGGAGCAAAGCATGATATTCTGACCTGTACTGGATGTAAAATTCAATCCCGAACCGAAAGTAACGGTGGCCAACATCCAGGTAAGGATATATTACTTTGCTTCCATGGCCAACATACTATTTTTTATTATACCATTACATTATCCAAACTTAAAGTTTACTGTCTGTTTTAAGGTTGGAAAAGTGATATTCTCTCTCTCTCTCTCTCAGAGGAAGATAACACCCGTCTGGACATGCGCAAAGACGATTTTTTTTTATGCGGGATACAGTAGAATCCCTCTAATGTTGACAATTCGGGCCAGGATCATTCGCTAATGTTGACATTCCCCTTTATCTCCACTTTTCATGCCTTACCTTTCTCCTATGCGCATTAGCATGCGCAGAATACAAAATCGATTGAAGAATCCATGTGCACGGATTTAACCGCAATAATTGTATTTAAAGTACGCGCCGCAAAAGTAGAATTCTATTGGATGGTAAAAAATCATAGTGGGGAAAAATCAAATTAACAGTAACGGGATTATCCTGTCAACATTAGCGAGAGAGCAACATTAGAGGGATTCTACTGTAGAATACGTCGCTTTGAAATCTGAAAACAGGGAACAAACTTTGAGAGGGAGCATGAGGAAAAATCTATTTTTGTCTTACCCGTACGTAAACTTCGATTTTACTCGCATGTTATCCTACGCTGCAAGGCAGAACGTCTCGCTTTACCTACTTCTAAACTGAGAATAAAATTGAAATTTTCGTGACAATATGACAAAAAAATATATTCATACCATGGGAATAATCATATCTATTTGCAAAATTTTGTTCCTATTCATCGGCTCGAAACAAAATTTTTCTCGCGGAAGAAATACTGTACTTTACCCACTTGATCCTCTCCCCTTTAGAATTAAATAAAAATGTTCGCCAAGTGTAGATGATAATATGTAGCGATAATCTTTGTTAATAAAGTGCTATTTTCCTGAAACTAGTTTCTTAAAACAATTCATTAAAAGCCGAGTGTATAATTTCAAATAAATATTTATGTTTAAAGTTAGGTGGGGTATAGTGGAGCATAAAGAAAGAAATCATCTATGTAATTTGTATCAACAAATTAGATGATGTTGATGTCATAAAAAGGGGAAAATTTATGTTTCAAACAGTATAACCTGAAAAAATAATTCTCTAAATTGTATAGACATGGTAGAGCCTTGTAAGAGTAAAATCTCTCAAGATATCTCTTGATTGATTGAGAAAGGTTTATCATTTCATTTTTTTTTACATTTTTTTTGTTCTTGTAAAAAAGTAGTTCAACCGAATTTGTTAAACTTTTTTTAAATTTTCTTAATTATATTTCGAATGAAATCTGTATTAAGTCAATATCTTTATTTATTCTTGAAATATCATGAACAAAAAAATGCTGATATAAGCATACTTGCATGCACGTGAATACATCTAAACATCTAAAAAAACTAGTTAGTATGCTTCCATATACTTTAAAACGTGAAGATTGAAGAAAATTTTACTTTTCAGGAATAGATAATACAATAACTTCCTGATAAGAAATCCATAAATTTTTTTACAGAATACACCATTTTCAAATTCAAGAAATAAAATACAAATAGTGTGATCAATACGTTTTAAAAAAGTTCAAAGTTTCAAATTTTTTTGGCTTTAAAACTTTTTTTTAGGTGACGACAGAGTATGAAAAGTATTTGTGACCACATGTTATATAGTACTTTTTCATTATAAACAATACCTTTTTTTAAATTAAAATACAAAAACTACGTGTCGTCAATTGAGATATACTGCACACATTTAATGATTTTCGTGAAATATAAAATAAGATCAGTCTCAGCTCTCTGTGATAAATAGTTTTCAAAATATTGAATTGTTTATCAGAAGGTACGGTGGTTTTTCAATCATTGGACTGTAGTTTATTAACAAATAAAATTTTTAAAGTTCCGCTTTTTTTTTTCTAAATTGGAAGCTACATTTATGCCAAATACATAAGACGAATTAGTATTAATTGCATGTTACAACTTTTTGAAATAAAAAATACTCTATGCATTGTGAAAAATTTCATTCAATCTCCACTTGAAATTCTTAAACCGTTTTGACTGAACTAAAATGCATTTTCTGAGTTTTATTTTACAACACTTTCTTGTGCAATGTTGTTAAAATGAACAAGGATTTTTAGATGTTTATTATCTTAGAGGCCAAAGTTGTGTCTTGACAGTAAACTTATTTAAATCTACTTTTAATATTATGTGAAGCGATAAATTTTAGAAACATTGTAGTCAGATTCCTGTCATACAAGAAATAAAAGATTATGCTATCAAGAGATATTTTAATCGGATTTTTTTATAAAAAACTTTTTTTAGATTAAATTGGAAAAGCTCTTAATTAATACCTGAACTAGTATCAATTTTTTTTTATTCTATATGTAGTGAGAGGCTTATATTTTTTAGTAAGACAATAGAACAAGATGAATCAGTGAAGAGTAAATGTAAAATATATTAACTCGGTCTCTGTCATCACGCTAGTATCACGTGGAATGTTGAACATCTATCAACCATTCATCTCTATTGTGAAATTTCTCCTTGCGAATAATAATTCTAATTATCGAAGCCTCGATACTTCCGCACTTAACAGACCGACTTCTATCTATTAGCATGATGCAAAAAATCGATCTGATTTAGAACCTTCATGGTTAATTCAGTCGTGTTCAGTAAAATTCCGTCACACGTCCAAGCCACGTGCTGGAAAAGTTTCTCGATTGTTTTTGATATTTTTCATTTATTTATCATAGATTTCATAGATATCTGATAATCATAAATATGCCAAATAGTTTAACAGTTGAAATTATATTTCCCAAAATTTAAACTATTAACAAAATTAAACATTTAAAAATAACAAAAAAATATACACAATGTGCTTTTTATATCTAAACACGTTTGTGTTGCACACAAATGTGGTTGGTTAATGAAAAGTTAATTATCTCTAATCATATTCCATGTGAAAAATGCTGAGATCTTTAAAGTTGTCCTCGTGCCAAAGCATACATCTTCATATATTTCTACTTGGCATAGAATTCAACGAAATATTAAAGTTCATCCAAAGCTGAAGCGATTTCAATAAATTGTACTTCAAGGCTTTCAGAGATGTTTAGATTTGAAGACATAATGTCATGTTTCATTTTAATAATATTTTTTTCAAAATATTTTTATATCATTCATTAAATAATACTGAGAAAATGGAATAATCATTATTGAAGCGAATGGAAAGTTAATAATAAATGCATTCAATCGATTCGTTCCTTTAATAAAAAATTATTTCAAGTTAAATTTCGAAATTCAAGATGAAATTATTTTAAAACATATTCTTCGATGTTTATGTTATCATACTGGGGTTTTTTATATTATAATTTAGAATTAATTCGTACTTTGTTTTATTTTCATTCAATTGATGCTATTACGATTCTAGAGATCTCGTAGAATAAGTGTATGATAAATTAATGATAATATTGTCAAAAAGTTAAATAAATTAACTCCTTGCCTGATACACATGAAGAATTGTAAGTCAAAGTATTTACTTACAAGTAGAGTAATTTAAATTTAAAAAATTTAAAGTCATTAAAAAGTTATTTATATATTCTCATACTGACTGATAAATTTACTATATATAGTACACTAAAAGTATCAAATGCAAAAGTATCAAGTAATTGCTTTTTATAAAATAGACAAAAAATTTAAATAAACAAAGTGATTCAATTTTATGAAACCAATAATATGGAAACATTATTTGAAGTGTGAAATTTGACATCCAAAGTGTTTTATATATTGTCGTTAAAAATAAATGTTTTAAATGAATTTTTGAACAGTTTTCAGTGTTTGAAATATACAACTTAGTACAGGTCAAAAGATGAATTATTTAGGCTCAAGATGTCACACCTAGGACGACAATATTTTATATTAATGCATATTTCTTTTTATGGACTTGCAGTAAAAAATACATGTTGCAAGGACATCATTGGTTTTTACTGTACAATGTATAGAGTTTATACTTTAGTCTTCCATAAGACTGTAGTCTGAATAGGACATGTTTTGGACGCCTCTTAATTTTGCAGTATATAAATTATTTTTGAGATTTCATGAGCCCGAATCGAACATCTTTCAAGTTTCAATGTGACAAATTGAATGTGACAAGTCCACGTTTCGAAGTTTTATTTACAAGTAATAGTATATTACGCACCGTGGGAAGAAAGTGGGCTTTTACAGGTCATGCGTTTGCTACTCGAGCCTTCGGCCTTCGGCCGAAGGCTCGAGTAGCAAACGCATGACCTGTGGAAGCCCACTTTCTTCCTGAGGTGCGTATACGATTTTTTGTCACATTTGTGCGGAAAGTTCGTTACTCAGTTGACTAATTATATTCGTTCATGAAAATTATAACAGTAAGTGGTAAAAAAAATTTATTGAAATATTAATTTATGTGCGCATGCGTCACATTTCTGACGCATGCGTCGTAACTCGAGTCTCGCTCAAACATATGGTATCGCGTCTAAAATTGCTAGATTCACGTCTAAACACTTCGTGCAATACGCTAGGTGATTTATTCAATAAAAAATAAAATAAGCTGTGCAATTTATAATGAATGCTTCAGAAGATTCTGATGATTCTATGTGTTCCGATAGTTCGTGTTTAGATATTGAAAATGAAGCGAAAAAAATAACCAACGACTTATTACCTGCCAAATCAACTAATCGGTACATAGGATGTTATAACCAATTCATGGAATGGAAGAATAAGAATAAAATTCAAACGTTAGATGAAAATGCTTTCTTGGTATATTTCAATGAACTGGCCAAAACTCTACAACCAAATTCATTGTGGTCACGATGGTCCATGCTAAGAAATGTTTGTAACCTCTATCTTGGAATCAATATTAATACATATATGAAATTGAAAATGTTTATAAAAAATAAAGCCAAAGGTTACCACACCAAAAAAGCAAAAGTTCTTACATTGGAAGAAGTGACAAAATTTCTAAATAGTGCTCCTGATGAAATCTACCTTGGCATGAAGGTTAGTTTAATTCATTGATAATACTAAGTTATCCAATTTTATTAATATTTAAAAAACTAATGTCTATTAATTATTCTATGAATTATTTTATAAGTTATTGAATTTGGTCTCTATTAATTATACAAAACCTGTCAAAATTTACCTATTACAATCTACTATACATTAGAATTTGTATTAGCTAACATAGAAATGTCATGTTTGTAAAATTCTTCGATTTTCACTAAAAATTTGATCGGTTTTGTGATAAAATATGGAAAATAAGTCACTCTAGCTTATTATAAAAATTCTAAAATTTCATGTCGATTACAGGTCATTTTGATATTCGGAATATGCGGGGCATTAAGATCCATGGAAATTGCAAACATTAAAATGAATGATGTTCAAGACACAAAAACTCAATTTATAGTAACCATCAAGGACACCAAAAATTGTTATCCAAGATCGTTCATTATAGGAGAAATTTACTATGATCGAGTGAAACAATATATATCATTGAGACCAAAAGACATTGATACAGACAGATTTTTCCTTTTTTACATGAAGTTTAAATGTACTCGCAATGTTATAGGCAAGAACAAAATTGCTGAAGTACCGAAAAACATCGCATGCTATTTAAATCTACCAGATCCCAATAGATATACTGGGCATTGCTTTAGAAGGACATCGGCTACATTACTTGCTAATTCTGGTGCTACTTTAACTACAATTAAAGAACACGGTGGATGGAGATCCAGTGCAGTTGCTGAGGGTTATATAGAGCACTCATTGTTCAACAAAAATAATATTTTTAATAAAATAACACAATCAGAAAAATCTTGTACTGTAACAAAAGATCTCGATTCAGCAATAATACAGACTAACAAGTCAATATTAGAAACTAATTGTCATACAACGAAGTCAAGCAATAATCAAAAAAGACCTTTAATTTCAATAGAAAATTATAAAAATGTTCCAACATATAAAAAACTAAAAGAACAAACAACTCTAGATAAAAATAATAACAATTCTAATATAATGGAACACGATTTTCAAGAAACCACTAATATTGACCATAACTTTGAAATAGTAAATGAAGAAACAACATTAAATATTGGATCTTCTAAGCAATTGGAACAAGTGGATGGCTTAGATGGACACAATCAGAACTCGCACATATCAGGGCATAATCCAAATATTTCAGAAGCTGATCAACTCCAACCACCAACTATACAGATAAAATCAACAAATGATTTAAAGAAAAAAAATAATGATAAAAATAATAACAAAATAAAAGAGGAAATACCAGCTATAATAAATATTAAAATTGATAAAGTAGAAACAATTAATATATATTATGGAAAAAATCCGAAGGGTGAAGAATGAATAAGCGGCTATTAAACTCAAATATTAATTCATCACGTGTTCATGTTATCGTTAAAAAACATTTTAAATTATCATTGAAAATTTAAGTTCTTAGTTAATTCTTTTATTTGTAATTGGAATTATTTATCATCTAATTATTAAAATTAATCTGTAAAAGTTTGTGTTTTTTGGAATCTTTGTTTGAACTATTTCAATATTTTCAAATAAATTATTTCCTATAATTTTCATAATATTTTTGTTAAATTTCATCAGTGCGTTCAACTTTCCTACCCTTTGTCCATTAACGAAGTATTGCTAAATAACAATTTAATCTGGAAATTTATTTTCGTAAAGTGTTTGGACGTGAATCGAGCAATGTTAGATGCGATGCACATGTGTTTGAGTCAGATGCGTGTTACGACGCATGCGTCAGAAATGTGGCGCATGCGCACAAAAATCAATTTTGTTTCCGTATGCATGAAAAAGTCGTACTTTCGTTCACCGACAGAGGGAAGGGAAATCGAACTTTCCGCGGTGATGTGACAAAAAAGTATTTCTGTTCAACAATGAATATTGGTTTGTGGTAAGCAATTATTTTACTAAGACACTTAAGTGTTCTTAAGTATCAAATTAACTTACAAGAACTTCAAATTAACTATCGAATGAAAAAATTTTTACTTCTAAACTTTGAAACATGAATTTGTCCCTTGTACTTACATTTAGTAAAAAATTTTCTCCGTGTGTTTTACTCGGGTTATTGCACTTGTAAATTAATATCTAAAACAAAGCGACTTAAATTTATGCGATTCCTGCATCGACATATAATCTTCATCATAGATGTCAAAATGATTAATTGGAATCGTCGGTCAGATAATGTTGGTTGAACAGGTTATTTATTTTTAGTTTAAAAACCAAGACAGACCAATGATGTCTTAAATCAGCGATTGTAAGCTGGTTGTCATTGAGTAAATAGTCAATTGAGTATCATTAAAATGTAGCAATGATGCTTACTAAGTATGTCATTACTACAATTGATTTCTACTAAAAATAATTTGAATTATGTATTATACGATGCAGCTCTTTCAACTTATCGTGCACATTGAATGCGTAAAAAGAAGGAATAGACAAAGCAAGAAAGTTTAACAGCCTCTTCGGAGAGGAATAAAAAGCTGGAGCAAGTGTATCAAGGAAAACGTGTCCTTTTTCCTTATTTTAAACCTTAGATCTTTCGTACATACCTTCTCATCTTCACTACTCTTTTATTTACTTCAATTTCTCATTCATTTTTTTGCAAAACAGCTTTCTATTTATATCCCACAGTCGATGCACTGATCGTAATGTCGAGTAATTTCAACAGAAATAACTATAAAGTTTATCATATAGATAAAATATTATCCCGATGACTTACTTGAAATGAACTCGTGATCTTCTTAAATGTTTCTGAGAATAGAATTCATTTTCTTTTTATTTATCATTAACAAGAGATTGATAAAAGTCATCTGGTACCCGATTTCAATTTATCAACAATAATTAGTTAAAAAATAATAATAAAGTACGAATTAACATGTCAGTGGATTTTCTTATAAACTAATCAAGAATTAATACAATTTCTCAGTATTAAAGAATGAAAGTTTGATTATTTTGATAATTTCATTTAAATCTATATATTGTAATTTTTTTATTTCAACATTGTTAATATTTAAAAATTAAATATTATTCGATTTTTGCACCAGTTTTTTGTAATTTAAGTGCATATTTTAAAAGTGCTACAATTGAATACAACTATTTTGTTAAAAAAAAAAATTATATACTTGAATGTACCGAAAACGACAAATAGTTTACTTGAGTATCACAAAACATTTTTATCAATTCCAATATGATTTTCGTTTTAGAAGTATTTGAATTTTTTAAAAGAAAGTATTCATTTTACATAAAATTTTTAGAAAAATCTTTCGATTAAGGAAATAAAGTGTGTTGGATTGTTTAAAATGAATCTGACTTTGTCTTTGTAAATTGCATAAACGAATTTTTTCCTCTTTTGTTCAATATGTCATCGTTAAAAAATTGTCACTGTGATAAAGTAAAATAATTAAAAAATAGGCAAATCATGTAAAGATGCCCTGTTCTTATGATATAACGCATTAAATACTACATTGTAACTGTAATATATAACACAATGGACTTTGGAAGAATGTGGAAATAAAGTTGATCGTTATTTTTACAAATCGTTCAACGATCTTCAGTTTATCAATTAAAATCCAGTGATTTAAATTCCAATCTCTTGACGAGGCTAACCAGTTCAATGGCTTGGCTCTTTTTGTGTCACAATCGCTACAACACTTCAATATATTAATACCAATACTCACGATAAATGTATGCTAATAACTTTTTAACTTCCCATTAGGAAGTTATTGTAATTGGGTCGATTGGTGAAATCTGAATTTTCATTAAATCTCCACGTTTCAAGATATTTGCAAGCATACTGACATATTTTTAGAATGATGTATGTATGTATGTATGTACGGACGTCAGCATTTTTTTCATTTTCGATATCTTAAGAACGGATCAAGATATCAACTTGAACCAAAATTAATTCGAAAGATATTATTATAGAGAAGATCTGAAAGAAATTTGAACAAATTTGATCGAGCCGTTTTTTTTTATAACAAAATAACTAAGAAAAAAAATGAATACATTAGCTATTTAAAATACTTTTAAGCCAAACAATAACAATTTCATTTGAAAATTAAGTCGATATTGACTAGACATTATTGTTCACAACCAAATATGACTCTTAACAATCATGCATTGTTTATAACAATATGAATTTGTTATAAACAATTGAAAATTGTATTTATCAATTAACTGATGCGTATATCACATGGATTTGGATGTTTTCAACAAAATAATATTATTAATGATGAAATATGACTCGTAAAAATTACATATTGTTTATAACAATACGAATTTATTATAAACAATTAAAAATTGTATTTATTGAATAAGTAACGTGTATATCACATGTATTTGGATGTTTTTAACAAACATTGATTACAACTATTTGAATTTGTTATAAACAATTATTAATGGGAAGTTCGTCGTGTTAGCACAGACAAAGTTTGCTCAGACCTATTTTTTTCTAAATGTATTCGAGACACAATCTAATTAAGATTATTTAAAAACATTTGTTTTTTACAATTACGTTAAAAATTTATTAAAAATTTTTTCCTCATAAACTCTTAATTATTATTATCGTTGATTTACGTCAATATTACGTCATTAGATATCAATCAGTGGTAGGAGATCTCCCCTCCATTGAAGTAGGGAACTAGATGCCGGCTACTTTTTACAAGAAATATTTATTTTCACAAAGATCATATATTTTTTAGACAAATGGAAATATATTCATCCGTACTATATCTCGATTAGCAGAATTGAATTTTTACTGATGTAGTTCATGTTGACGACCAATTGGAGCAGTCAATGTAACGGAAGAAGCTTCGATACAATCAAAATATTCGTATGGCTACTAGGATAGAAACTCCGTTAAGTACAAGGGCAAAAATTTATATTCGTAGGATATACTGTATTACGGTATTTAATATCAGCCCCTTATAAAATATCGTTACACGTGAAATTTCTTTTAAATATGGGTAGTTTATGGGTTTCTAAAGTTATCTGTGAGGTTTTTGAATGTATGTAAAACATCTCTGATTATTGCTAGTGCTTGTGTTAGTAATGATAAAGATGAAAGTTATTACTGAAGCCGTCTCTGCTGTTATGACAGCAATTGCTACATACATACATACATACATCATTCTAAAAATATGTCAGTATGCTTGCAAATATCTTGAAACGTGGAGATTTAATGAAAATTCAAATTTCACCAATCGACCCAATTACAATAACTTCCTAATGGAAAGTTAATAAATAACTAGCGAAAAAACAATCGATATATTAATATATAAATATACATACATTTTCTTGGCAGTCACAAATTATGAATATATTATAATTAAAATTATTGAGTTCATCACAATAACTTCTTTTTTCTAATTAATTAGAAGATCGAATACTTTATGATAAATTATAAATTATCTTACACTATAGCATTATGATTCATAAAAAGAATAAAATAATAATCATTATGTAATCTTATATTAAATATTTTTTCTAATGTGTATATCAATTTTACACTATTTACTAAAACACTAAAATACGTTACTAGTCTAAGAAATTGTAATGATTGATTTTAATGATTGTAAATTTTCTCTGAACAGCAATACAAAGATTCAATAAATACATTTTGTTAAATCATTTTTTTTCGTCATTTATACCTGGTGAAATTTTTTTTACATATTTTACTCTATATTTTTATAAATAAGTGTACCTTGTTCTTACTATTTTTTTAAATTATCCTCTATTTATAACTTGATAAAATGTTCTCAGTTATTAGTATAATTAAAGATATTCTAGACAATAGTGTTTTTTCAAAAATAAGAGAACATTTGTTCTCACGTAGAATATAAACAACGGTTTTTAATTGTTACGATAAATCGCAAATTTATACTTTCTTTATTCGTGGAGATAATAAATGTCATTGAAAAAGAACATAAATAATAAAGGCAGGTGATTTCTTTGGCAAATAATTAATGTTAAATCTTCTGAACCCTTTCAAGCACTCGAAACATAATGCAGCTACATAATTTCTGTATTTAATTAGACAATGACATACCGATTGAAAATATCAAAACAACAAAATATGATAAATAAAGAAGAAGTTTAAAACTCAAAAAAGAATCTAGAATTAATATTTAGGAAAAAGAGTAAATTTTATTAATGATTTCAAAACATACGAATCAATATTTTTGATTATTTTCGAACTACTTCAAAGGAGTATGAGAATAGCCAGAAAAGAATCTTAATAATTGGAATTATTTTTTTCCACTTATGAAGTATAATAAAATATAATATAACATTGATAAAAAACTTTTAAATTAGTTCTAATATTTTCAATTGTAATCAATTATTAATCTTAATCAATTATTGATCTTTTGCCATTTTAACGAGAATAGTTTCTGTATATTCATTTGGCTAGAATATAATCGTATCGTCCCTTGTTATCAATAATTTTACACCCCGTACATGTACACTAATTGAATAAGCATATTTTACGAATTCAAATGATGAACTTATTATTTATTTTACTACTATTAAGATTTTTCCATAAATTGTAATCTTAATACCTTACGTACTATATTGTAAAGTAATCTGTGGAAAATAGAGTATATATATACCTGCTCTATATAAAATCTGTTCGAATAACTATCTTATATTCAGGATATTTTTAGGAGTTAATTGATTAGTTAACGTCATAAAAACAATAGAACGTCATACATGATAAATTCATGACGTGATACATTTATTGGTGATGAACAAAATTCCTCTAATTACGTCAAGTGTATTTTAGCAAATTGAATGCTAAATTTAAGTAGTAAACAAAGGTAAATGACATCTCTTGGTGACTAAGTAAATTTTAATACGTACAAACTATAGACAGTATTGTCCACTGTGCTTTTATTCTAGCTTACTTCATAAGCAAGCAGTTTATTTTAAAGATACATATGAAATCTGAGATATTGCGTCTTCATGGTGAAGAAATGTAGTACTTAGAATTACAATACATAACAGTCTACGGATAAAAGAAACATTTACAACTTGATAAAGACTGAAAATTGCTATGTCAACACAACACGTGCTTTTATTTTATACTTTCATATTCTAATAATTTTTATTATACAGTGAAAGACAAACTCCTCACATATTTGGGTTTAAATCAAGCCGAAAAATAAGCGGCTTTTATAAAATGAATAACTAATATCAAAGCATTCTGTTAAAAACTTAAATTGCCATTTAAAAGCATAACTATGAAATTTATTGGTTTAACTAATAATAATAGAGTGTCACAGTAGTTGTTCTTTTTTTCAAATTTTTTTATGTATAATGGATTCGTTACCATGCTTTTTTTCAAGTATTAAAGGTGAAAATTAGTTTATATTGATGTTTATTCCGCGATATATTTTAAAATAAAAAAAAAATTAGTACAGGAAAATATTTATTCATTTACAAGACATAATATCAATAATATTGTCCCCTACATCCATTTGTGCAAGGTCAAAGTCGCGAAACTATTATTAAATAACTGAAAGTAAAGTCATTTAATTCACATTGTTATTATTGACTAAATTATATTTTCGGAAAGAAAATTGTTTTATCATTTTAGCCTCTATTATACATATCAACTATCAACCTTGAAAGTCTGACATGTTTCGTATTTATATTTTATTATCATCCAAGTTTTAAAATTAGATTATTCTAGATTACATCGGTGAACTATATTTTTCATTATCATCATTAGAAATGGCATTGTTGAATACTGCAAAATTATTACTGTAAAATCTGGAGTAATTAGTAATAATATTAGATAAAGATATGACTCTTCAATAAATCTAATAATTATGTTGGACTAGGAATAAAAGAATTAAAAAACCGTATTTTCATTGTTTTATAGCTGAAACAAAATTTGTTTCGAAAAACAAAGATAACCATTTTAGAAAGTAGAAAAGATCTTTCTTGTTCCTAAATTGACGATAAAAAGCCCCTAAACAGGAAAAATATGGGGTGTTAAGTTCAAAACCATCGATTTTCTGCACGCATTTAAAAGACTGTACTTTATTTTTCTTTCAGATTGATTTGAAATAATTAATTATTTCCGATTTGTTTACAAAAACAATTAATTTTATCATGGATAGAATTTTATGATATATATCTTCAACATCAAAAAATACTGTAAAAGCTTTAAAAAGATTTGTGCCTCCTTAAAGAAAATGTGTATGGACAATCAATTGTTCTGAATACATAATTTTTTCCTGCAAACTAAAGAACATTTCGTACATAACGTGAATGAAATTTACTTAGAAATACAGTCAAATTTATTTTTCAACCCATTAAAATTTCTAGGGTCAAACAATTTTTCTGGTTTACTAAATCAAAGGCTTTCCTAATAATATTTCATGGATTTTTCTTTTTTAATGAACAGTAAATTTTTATAATTTTTTAACAAATACTAAATACGCTTAATCATCCTACTTAATAATATATTAAACAAAACTTATTTATTATTTGAGTTCGATTAGGAGCAAATATATATTAATACATGAAACAAATATTCAAGTATTATGAAATAAAGCTAATATTTAATAATCACATCTATGGCATAAAAATTACCGAATTTTTTATGACTCTGTATTGAATTTTAACCAGTTAAGTTATTTCACTGATGAGTAGTATCTATAACACAAATATAATAATAGAGGTTGACTTTAGAATGCTATTTTCAATATTGATTCATTTTGAACAGACGTATATGAATAAATTAATAAGTTATCAATGTCTATTCGATTCAAAAATCTATAAAATTAATTGATGGAATGTAGATAACTAATGAAAACCAAAATTTCGGTCAAATACTTTTTTTTATCAATTAAATATTACAATCATTTCTTTGATGTAAATATAATTGTATAATGCTATTTCTTTTTTTGTATGTATCACTATTGCAATTACAAGATCTCAGATGGGTTATCAATTTATATTAACGCAATATGTCAATGGCAATTGTAATATAACTAATGAGTAATGATTATTTTCAGTTGAATCATTTTTGATATTTTGTATTTGATAAAGTATGATTTTTATAGCAAACAAAATCATTACTCTCTTAAAATTAATATTAATTTCAACTAAATATTAGCAAATGTTTACTGATACCAACAGTCCCAATGGCATCACTAAGAATCAGTAAAATTGTACTTAAAAAATTTATTGAAGTTCAATTAACATAACTGAAGAGAGTAAGATATTTAATTATTCAAAAAGCCATGTAATTAATTCTACATGCGATGTAATGAGACTCACCGAGATGTGACAATGATTGTAACGAATCTGTAACAGCAGAAAAACGAATAATTAGTGTAAAGTGAAATTATTATTGAAAAATATGTTAAATTTAGATTAGAAAAATTCTTTTTCGAATGTTATTGTGCTAAAAATAGAATTAAAGAGACATAGAAACACTTGTGTTTATGTTTTTAAATTTATCGGGACATCGATGTGTTATTGTTGTATTTTATGTGTATACACCACAAATTATTAATGAATAAGTTCAAGGAGAAATTATTGATGATATATCATATATTCCCTAGTGAGTTTATATTTAGCTACCCTATTGATATTTCAGTCATTATCACTATTTATTATTAATGCTTATTAAAATCGATAATAATTTATCTACATATTTCCAATTAGTGTTAAAATAATTTAATCTACCTGAATAATAAAAGTATGCATTTGCGTCATAGTGGACACTATGTTTAAATGCTAACGACTATTTTTGAGTGACCCGATTTGAGTTATATTTGAATGCAAGTTGATCCCGCAAACGGTTAGTCCACCAGTACTGAAGTAAACAACTTTTTTATGTCATTATTTCGATTTTTTAAGTAATTTATCCATGATTGTTGGTGTCAGTAATTGTTAATGAATGAAAGAAAAAATATAAAACAATTTTAATCTACTTTCTTTTTGCATTAAACAGCATGCCTTGTTGGATTAAAATTTCAAATATCATATTTCTTTGTGAGTTATGGAATGACATACATAAATTAGAATATTGTATATAAATTCTGAATTATTATGTAATTTTTGTATGCATTAATGAAACATGTTAAATGTGTAGAATGTGAACTGAAAATTTTTGTCAGTGATAACGAGATTTGTTTTTATCTATTCATAAAATCTTTTACTGTAAAACTATATTTTTCATAATACATACCATCATAGTATATGAAACTTTAAGTGTAAGAGAGTTGAAAAAAGAGAGATTGACAAAAAAATTTAACGTAAGATCAATGTTTCTCTTTCTTAATCTCATGGCAGTCAGATATTTACCTGGGAATCATCACTAAAGACTTGAAAGATACAAGTCTATCTGCTTCATCTTGAAATACACAAAAATGTAGATGATAAATGGTAAGAAGATTATATTAGTGTAGATATAAACAGCCTTTACTTAACTTCTTTGTCTATCACGTTTCAATGGAAAGATGAATAATTACTGACAAAAATACATGAAATACAAAGTAGTAATAATCGGAGGATCAACTTTATTAAATTTTCTTTTATTCAATAAACAAACTCGAAAAATTAAGTTTTGGAATTTATGAAAATTCCAGACTATGGATTGCTATTTTATTGATGAGAAAAGTATAGAAATTTTCCAGGTATGAGCAGCTACATATGTTTTCCATACTTCAATAACATAATAATTCTATATGAGTAAATGCGGAAACATTCCTAGCGTCCGTTTAAATCTTGTACTAACTTTTCTCTTGCTTTGCATTGAAATATTTTATTTTTGTCAGTCTTGAACTTGTAAACCAGAGGTAAACCAGAGGCAGAGAAGCTGTTAAATCGGCTTAGAGCTACTTTTCTCGTGCTTGAGAAGAATAGTAAGCCCATATTGGGTACTTTTTTTTTAAATTTTCAAACATCCTGAGAATCATAGCTTGTCCATCTCTAGGGTTGTATTGGTCATATTGTTGTTCTACCTAGAGCCAGGCAATCTTGTATTTTTGCGTCTGTCTAAAAGAACTTTTCAAAACTCACCTTGCACTCTCTAAAAGTGGGTTTTCAATTCTTTCTCATCCCTACTCTGCTGAGTGCTAACTCGGTTCATTTATCATGATATCGAAAGAAATGTTATATGTGCTCGTAATAGGGACAGGAAAACTTAGTTTTATGGAAGGAACCTAGTTATATTTAGATTTCAAATTTTAGAGAAGCTCCACTGTAAAAATTTCACCATTTTTCAATAAAACTGTAAAACTATTAAAGTTATTCAAGGTAATCTGTGGTTATTTTTATTTACCGTTAAATATTGAGGAACTTTGTTCATTTTGTTCATCAAGTAAAATTTACCTGCCAAAAAGAATGCATATTGCTGGTTCTTGACAAGTTAAAAGTTGTCCTTTCAAGCAATTTCGGGTAGGCAAAATGTTAAATAATAGAATATCCAGATAGAAAATGTCTGACAATTGACGCCAAGCTACCAGCATGTCGGGAAAATTTTCGTTATTGTTTCTACCTGAAGGGCCCTCAATATTGTTGAAAAGTGTTTGGAAGTATTAAAGTAATTAATTGTTGAACTTGTCAGTATAACGTCTATTTGTCATCTAGTATATTACGGTACTAGCAGGTCAGATCATCCCTAGCAGGAAAGGACAACGGGTCCCTCCCTGACCCAACTCTAAGTCAATCTAAGTCATAAAATATTCGAGAAAACTTTACTGACCCTGCTTTCATTTATAAAAATACTCGTAGGTTCAAGGAAATTTTACCGGAAATTTCGTAAAATATTGCAAACAAATAAATTTCTTCATTTTCAATACACTGCCATTTATGTGAATTAAAACAATTTGCATTGAATACGGGTAAAATAATGTATGATGTAATTACTTTTTACACACTTTGTAAATTTTTGATTTGAAGTGTAAACTTCTATCAGTATAATGTTCAATCGTGTATGATAATATTCTGGCAATGTTAATTTTAATGATTAACGCTCTCAATTTACTAGTAGAAATTATTATTTTATTGTTTCATTTTATGTGTGACATTTTAATCCTTATTGTTAAAATTATCATGTATTTATTAATTGATAATTAATTGATAAAGTTGTCATTTTTAATCGCAAATATCTCAATTTCCAGACGTCAAGTCTTTTTTGTTGAGAGGAAAAAAATATATTTTTCGTTGCTTTACGTCAGCAATGCGATTGCAGAAAAAATATTGTAGAAAAATTTTCTCATAAGCTACCTTATGAAGTATATTCCTAATTTTCATTAAAGCAAAAAACTATAGGACTAAGTTTGACCAAAATTAAATGATATTAAGCAGTAAAAGTGTATACAATAAATAACAGCCTTGAAGAAGTCAGTATCATTTTTTGTTCACGAACTATCTTTCCTGAATAATCTGTCTGCACAAGCTAATAGCCTTGAATGACTTTAATAGCCTTGAAATATACAATTACTGTATAATTTTTGATCTCCATTTTTGGACCTATGACAATAACTTTTCTATTCAGAAAGAAAATAACATAGTTTTATGAGAACTCGAATAAAGAGACAAAATTAATGGAAAAAAACTGCTGTATTAATTGTTTAAAATGTTACTTGTCATTTTTCACTTGTCTCTATTGTTTTTTTTCATGTCTAAATAGTCATAAATGATCAATTTGTACCATTTAATTAGGCTAAACAAAGCATTCAGCACGTGTATATCATGCACCTACTACGTCAAAGCAGCTATATAATTATCGTACTATCAACAAGAACACGTATACATTGAGAAAAAAAAAATTGAACTTATTTCTTCTAATGATAAGTAAAAATAATAGTCCTTGGAATGTCCATAGTATTATATAAACATTTTAAAATACTTCCGGTTTAATTATGCTTGAATCACATGAACATGTTTTAATGTGAATTATTAAAAAAATTATGTGAAGAGAATTCCCACTTTATTTTTATCATTGTAATTGATATGAAAATCATTATTGATAGAAATATTTATTTCGAATAAATATATATGTGCACAATACGTAATATTGTCATGGCATTATCGGTTTTAAGTCACGACTGGATAAATGTACATCACGTGAACAATAACGTAATTCCAAAAGCTTCCTACTGATATACCCATTTCAATAGATGGTGTTAAATAGAATAGTTATAGATATTTTAAAATATTATTTTTATTTATGTTAATAAATAATTTAAACATATTTTGCAGCTTTGTTTTTTGTTAATAATTAATTCACAGATCAAACACAACTTCGAAAGAACTGTGAATTCATAGGCAGAGACTTTTCTAGAAAATTATTTTTTCGTTTTTAAAGTCAATTCTTTTTATAAACATTCAAAAGAAGATCATATTAAATAGACATAAATTATGTTTGACATGAAACAATCACGTATAAGTAAACCATAAAATTTTGTCGGTTACAACAAAGATATAAAATTAAAAAAAAAAATGTTTATTTTTGCAGATAATTTGAAATAGACGATTAAAAATGACTTTTATGGCTAAAAATGATAGATCTGGTGTTTTTTTTGTTAATAAATAAATAATGATCAAAAATGGCAATGAATGTAAATTGTTGGGTTTTTTTATCATTAGATTTTATATCGATTAGAACATAACAATGTAAGTTGTTACATAATAAATGAAAAAGTTATAAACTTTACTGACAAACAATGTTTTTTTTGACATGTTTCTCCAACTTATTTATCAATAATTTGTGAAATAAATCAATACAGTTATTTTTTTACAATAAACTAAATTGCAAAACATTTACACTGATGAACTAAAAATAGAGTTCTGCCTCCATATTAATGCGACTAATATTTTAAATTTTCTATTAAATTTTATCATTTATAGATCGTTAATTAGAATTGTATGAAACCCTTGGAACAATTTATTTTATTAACAATAGCATTTTACGTAATCATTTTGCAGTAAAAACAAGATAGACGCTGAGGTCCAGTGTTGACCCTTTAGCGAAGTCTGTTCTAAAGCAGTATACACTCTGAACAATTTCTAGTTTCTTTGACATAATTTTTGAGATGATAATTTCCTGCAAATATATTTGTTCTTACGTTAGAACTTAATGTGCTAGGAAAGCTTCAGGCAGGTTAAATTAACCTAATATTTCTTCATCATTAAACAGGTAAAATTTACTTTCATTTACAATCTTTATTGTAAAATTAATCATAAATGTTCTTACTGCACCCAAACATGTTTCTAGTTATAGCAACTATAGAAAAAATTAGACATACTGGAGTAACTATCAGTTTCTATCAGTATATACACTAAGAAAAATATTATAGTACAGCACTGTGATTTTCGTCTTTTATGTCCATGTTAAAAAATCATTAAAATAATAATTTTGATATCGATTCCTGATGTGACATAAGGATTATTTTCAAAAAACTACCTATCTAGGCAAGAGAATTGACATCAGCATGTGATATTTGATTGAATATAAATTCCATAAATTACACTGATAAAATAAAATATTTTATTGTAACAGTTAAGTAAAGTGGCATCATTACTCAATTCAGCAGATCACTAGAGGCCAAGAGTTGAAAATATCCATTACTGGCATATTAAAATGATCTTGATTATGGAATTAATATAAGTATTCAAGGTAATATTTATCAATCCTCAACCTCTTGTAATTGATAGATGAACATCTCATTTAAGTTCATTTTCGTGTCATAGAATATTATTTAAATTCTATCAATAAATCAGTTTTTTTAAAATAATACTTTTAAATAAAACTGTTTTTAATAAAATCGATACTTAATTATTACATTTGATATTAATTTGATATCAATAATTTATCTAATAGAACACAAACATAGTTCTCAGCAATAAATTTCCGGAATAAATTAATGTTATTTTCCTTGTATGTAGCCTTTCAGAGTGATGGATGCGTTTGGAGTTGACTTACTTCCTACCCCTGAACTATATCACATTCACATACAGACACAGAAAAATTACAGAAAACTTGTGTTGATACAGTTGGCCTTCTAGATAAATCCTTTCACCTATCAATGATCTTTGAAAATATTTATCATTGATCATAAATTGAGTTTCCTTAGTCCAGGGTTAATCACTTTATCTAAAATTTTATTAATTAACTTTTTTAAAAATCAGAGTTGGATTTGATTAAATATTCAATATGAAGATTGGCCAATAACGTTGCTTTTATTTTTTATTCAAATTTTTTTCACCGTTGACTCTTTTGTTAACAATATCAATCATAGTTGAAAAAAATAATCCTAGTATATCTCCTAATATGTGGTTTTCTTTAATAAATTAAATACATTTTCTTCCTGTCATTCATTCTTTACTCCAATTTATTATATTTTATCATCAACTACCATTTGATGCATGTTAAGCAAAGTGATTGATTGTCAATAAAAAAAATTATACATTCTAGATGGTTCTGCAGATCACATATATGCTAGGTAAAGCCGATACTAAGTTATATACTATTCAAAGCATAGTAATCCTTTTTATTTACTATCTCAAGCCAAGTTCAGTGGCGGAAGACCTTCTACAACTTCCTCCATTGACTTGTCGAAACCTTGACCTTAGAAAAATCGAATAGTCGCTGAAAAATTTATTTCTCGCGTGTTTGACCAATATCATCAATTATATTACGCTCTCACATTTCTTAAGAGTGTAACTTGAATCTTTAATCAAGTTAATAAAAGTGAAAATTTTTTGAAATCTTATTTTAGCTAAAGGATCAATACATTAAATATATCTACAATATATTTATTGCTAACACACTAAAAAAACGTTAATATTTTTCTAATCTACTTGAATAATATTTGTTACAATTATATTTGATTGATTGTGATTAATCAAAAATGAAATGATAAAATGAATTAAAATAATAAAAACATGTAGAAATAAAATGCATGTGAAAGTCTCTTTGACCATAAAAGTTTCAATGCCATTCAATAAAATAATGTCTCATCGCTGCGTAAAACTATGCAGCTTCTGCGCTTGTATGGTATTAATATTATAAAATATATAACAATATAAACAACCGAGAAGTCGTTGATGTCAAAGAGCTTCACGTAATGATCACGCAAATTCAATTAGTCACAACTATTCGTACATTTACACAAAGAAAACTTGTTGATGTCATCAATGCAACACATGTTAGTACCAACGACGTCATTGCAGTTGGTATAAATATCAAAACATCTATTAATTGCTACGACATTATTAAAATGATAAAGACAAAGAATAATAATACTTTTAGAAACTACCATATTTTGATTATGAACAAAATAGCTGTTATGACATCGAATATTTTTTAATATGTTTGTAAATAACAAATAGACATCAATTCAAAAACAGCTTAAGAATGTTTGTTAATAACTTGATCACATGAAAAAGTGGAATCTTCTTCTATTGGTTTGAATAAAAGATCTAGAAGCTGGCATTTCGCCATAACAAAATATGTTGTCATCTTGGAATCGTTGGCATCAAAAATATTGCAATCTTGTGATACGAAAGTCTTGAGTTCAAGTTGTTCTCTAATTAGATAATAATAAATTATTGCAAATGAAAGAAAGAAGTATAAAAATACATTTATTAAATGTAATAAAATTTTCTTCGATGGTATTTTTTGAAAATCTTTTTGGAATATTCAATATATACTGTCATTCAACTGTAAAGTATGTTTTGCCACGTGAAAAGCATTAGTCGGAAGAAGAAAACGTGAAAGTTTAGAGTATAAGATTTATAGATAAGAGTTAGACATTCCCTCATAGACTACAAACGCTCTAGGGTTCCCAGATGTGTACATATAAAACGACTTAACTGTTATTGGATGTTCTTTTGAAAAAGAACGTTGCACAAGCTAGTTAACTTGTTGCTAGGCGGCCTGAAGACCAATCGTTATGGTTATTTGTGCTATATCACACAATTGAAGTGATAATTTATAGCTCAAAAATTTCACTATCCAATCTATGCTGTAGTTGGTAAATTAGATACATGTTTTGCTTTTAATATTTCTATGTTGATACTTTTAATCATCTTACTATTTTACACGGAAACTGGAACTTAAAGTTGTAGCTGAATTTGATCAGCATCATTCTAGAACGCGACTGTTGAAACTAAAGATTTTATTGTTTTTATCGGATTTTATTTTGGAAAGTTAACATGAAAAATAAATAGAAAAAAGTTAAAAAAGCAACATTCAATGTTGCAAAGATTTATAAATGTTGATAATAAAACTCATTTATGTTGATCAAACATTTCAGACATTAGCTTAGGGTTAATAAAAAAAAAGATTATTTTATAATAATTGTAAAGTTAATGATATAGATACAGAAGCTGGCCTTAAGAAGAAGCAGCTGGCACTACTTACTAAACTAATGTTAATTATTGAGTCTAGCAAAAGGGTCAAAGAACAATTGAACCTACGTCAGCTAAAATTGGTATTTTAAGACTCGTATCAATTACTTTATCCTTACACTCAGTTGCAAAATTTTGCACAATTCATTGTCACAGAAAATTTTTATTTGAATCAATTTTTCATGATGATTAATGCCCGATTACGTTTAGTACATATCATAAATAAAAATACTTTTTTAAGACTCAAATGATCAGTAAATTGAACGATAAATAAAAATTTACACTATTTTCAAAGATTTACGGATTATCTATATCGTTCTGTCATTATTATTGTAAATAAATATAGATATAATAATTGATAATAAAAATTTTCAATAGTATTAAAGCCAAATATGAGTGCCAGCTAGACTTAGTGACGGATAAAATGAGCATACCACTATCAAACAGATCAGCTAAATAGCTAAAATACCGGTAGTCGATAAAGTAGAAGCAGCGATCAGTGAAATGATAAATCATTATATCGGACAGTTGGTAACAAATCGGAAAGTGATAACAGAGAGAAGAGTCTTCTCTCCGGCTTGAAATTTTTTTTTACTTTCATACAATTATTTCTGTTTGATTTTAGTTATAGTCAATCAAGTAGTTATAATAATAAAAATTAATTATTATCAAATAAATATACAATCTTTCTTGGTATCAAATCTACATCGTCAGCCTGGATAGAAAGATCGATTGATCTGGCAATAAAAACCATCACAGTTAGTGGTGACGCCAAGCGACCTAATTAATAACTACGTAAAATTCAAATGATAAATGACAAGTGATTGTAGGTATACAAGAGGATGATGGATTACGATACTACTTTATTCTACTGTAGTTTGTAAAATGAAAGAAAATTATTTAAAAAATTATGTAACTTACCGGTTTTGTTATCTTGTGATTGAATTCCACTTTCCACATCTCCAGTAGCTGTGGAAAGCGCTGTAAAATAAAATAATATTGAGTTAAACGAATGGATTTTTATAAAATTTTTTTTTTGATTATTATAATGGAAATTACTTTAGTTTAAATGAAAAATTACTATTCAGATTAATGAAATGGAAAAATGTCTATCGTACATGATTTAAAAATATTTATCATGTGAAAAAAGTACACTTCAACAGTGCCATTTTTTCAGAGCAATTGAAAATAATGTTTTTCTTTATTTAAAATTGATTCATAATTCATTACTATCATTAAAAAGGAGATATTTAACAAATTTCGAAAAAATTCTTTCATTAATGATGAATTTTTTAATGGAAATATTTCAAAAAATGTAAATTATCGAAATTAAATATTGATAGTATAGTAATATTTTTTTTATTGAAACTAAAATGCTTATTTCTTGAACGCCTTTTACTTCTTGTAAGATGACTAGTAATTTATGATTTTGAAATATTTATGACTAATCAAATATAAATGATAAGAATGATCCTGTATAATGACTATCCGGTACAATCACAGGATTACTTTGTTTATATAATAATTCTAAGTAGAACTTTCATTCACATAATCTCTGAAACAGTGTTCAAAAGTCTCTTGTACATTTTTTTTTGCAATCAATAAAAAACTGCAATTTGGAAAAAAAGTTGATGAACAGAAATAGCAGAGAAACAATTAATTAAACTTTTTTTTTTGCCAATATGTATATATATTTTTATACATAGTAATAATTTTATTGTGCTGTTATTTTTCAAGGCAACATGTTCATTTCTTTTTTTTAATTTTAAAACAAATTTTATTATTATTTATAGAATAACAATTTATGAAGATATTAATTAATTGTGAGATTAATTACAATCTAATTCTTACACTTGTAGGTATGTTGGATTGGCTTCTTACGTATTTGTCTATAAGTTGATTTTATACACACTGAATAATTTTTCTGATTATAACTCACAATGTTTTTTCAATTAACGTATACTACTCTGCCATCAGATTGTCTGTAATGACGAAATGAGATAATTCACGCGGAGAATGGAAAAAAAGACAGAAAGATATGAGTAGACTGAGAGGTTCGAGGATGGTTTATTGATTAGAGATTTAAGAAGTTAAAAATATGTATAATATAATCCGAGTATTCATAATTCTCAAACATTATATCCGGTAAGTCAGATGAGTTAATAATGATTAAACAACTAAATAATATGTGTCTGTAAATAATATGTGATTTGCGATTAATTGTTTAAAAAAATCAGTTTATTTCAAATGCCTTTTTGAGGAATTCAGTCCAAGGACTTATACCATTCATATCAAAACGATCAGCTTCATGCTCGATCTTCATCAATGTATGTACATGAGAGTGGTGTAAAAAAATTTACAAAGTCACCTGTTAGATCAGCAGAATTGCAAGATTCTTCTCTTTGATTAAAAAAAATTATCATAATATCGCAGAAATAATTATTTTTACGTCATGATTGTTTGTATATTTTAAATTAAAAATAAACTTTAATGTTAATCTTTATTTTAAATAAACCATTCTTGTTTATGTAATTTTATTGTAATTTTAGAGTTTTAATGTCTATTAAACGAAGAAATCTTTTATTTCAAAGTTTTTGTTTGATATCGTTGTTGAAATTTTTTTATTTTTCAAGAAACATTTAATTAAGTTAGAAAAAAATTTGTTCTTTAAAATCCCAATACAATATAAATGACAAGTTGTATGTGTGTATGTGAGATTCCATAAAAGTAGAATGTATGGAAAGGTATGACTCTGAACACTCGCACTAAAAAATTAAATAAACATTAATTAAAAACGTATCTATCTTATTTTTATTTTATTACTGATATTTTTTTGATCCCTGATAATTAATTAAAAACAAAAGGCTAATCACATACATTCACTACAATTAAACGACTATATATAAAACTACATTACTAATGAGATGGATTATTTTTTCTTTCAGATATTTATTAAACGATAAGTTGTTTATAATACGAGTTATAGTAGAAAAATTTGTGAAATTCGTTTCATACTATGAAAAAAACATTTTTTCGCATAAGAATATTCTTTATAAGTATTTCGTTGAATAATTAATACAATTCATTATGTACATATATTAAAAAGCAACTTTTTATTACTCAATTACCACAATTGCTTTGTATAGGTCTTAATTTTATTTCCTATCATCAGTTTTTTAAATTTAAAGATAAAAAATGAAATATTCTGTCGTATGAGCAATATGATTTTTGAAGCAAAAATGACTAGATAATTAAAACTATATTTGATTAATTATAAGAAAATTATTTTCTAACGGATTAAATTCAATTTTTATTATTCATCCTCTTATGAAAGAATTATTTTTCAATTCCATTAACATGCATTAACTTTCTTATTTCAAAATACTTTGACATTAATCATTAAGTGAAGACTTGTATGAATGATTGAAAAGCTTATCTTTAGAGTATTGTGTTTATGTAGCCACACTCAAAACAAACATTCATGAAATTAATTCCATATGATAACATATTTTGATTTCAATCGATCTAATGATCAAATAAATTTCAGATACTTTCCATTTTACGATATGATCATTTTTGTTTTTATTATACTATTTACATCTTCAAATTGATATTGATTGAAATTTGTTGAAGATTGTTAACTAAATGTTTCGCTGTCGTACTACTTACTTTTCCTTGATTACATCTAAAATGTAGTTTTTTATATTCAATATATCTACAGTAATAATCTATCTTTTGAGGAAGAAATCAATCAAAGCATTTCATTAATTATTGTATAACCATAAAGACTTTTTAAAAAGGTCCTGATAATCTTATACGATGTATAATTATGTATAATTGTATAATTTATGTATAATTAAAAAATGGGCCTGAATGCAGTGTGCGCCCATAAGATGATCTTTCCATTAGAGAGTGCTTTTAATAATTTGGAAAAAATGTTTTTATTAGTCAATAATAAATTGAAATTCTCATAAACAATATATCATTATTAAAAGTCATGTCTAAATATTTAGAATAATATTTTGTTATTATTAACCTAATTAATAATTAACGAATTTGTTCAAACTTCTGTCGAATAATTTTTATTAAAAACACGAAAAAACTTTGATGCACGTACATACATACATTTTACTAAAAACTTGTCAATATGCTTTTACGTACTCCAAAACGTAGAAATATAACAAAATTTTTACTTTTAGAAATTGACTCCATTATAACAACGTCCTAATGGGGAATTGATAAAATACTTTTGTTAAAGGAATAGATTGTTATTGAATTAAACGGAAGTTTCAATTCGAATTCATACATCCCCCCTATAACAAAAATAATCAGGTTCAAAGTTCATTTTTCTAAATTTTCACTATCAACAACATTTTCTGACTAAGCCATTAGAAATAAATGTGACAATGTCATGACCTCTTTTATGGAAAATTATTATCGATTTAATAATAGACAACGGATTTATATTGTATTAAACTGTTAATTTTTTTATCATTTTTTTTACTTTATAAACTAAGACAAATAATTTAGACAAACATAGATTTGCCAATCATACTCAAATCATTTGATTCCTTGAATGAATAAAAACTCATATTCAATCCTGTATAGAAATAAAATATTTATATTTTAACAACTAACACAACAATGAATGTAATTGTATTCTTCGAATCCCAGCAATTAATTTTTTTAATCAAAATTTACTAATACGTTTATGTGACATATGAATATGGTTATATTTCTAATGAAAATTATTTTCTTAATAAGTCGATAACCGAGTGGGTTGAGGCACCGGATTTAGATCCACACGAGTTGGCAGTCGTATGGATTTTTCGCAGTATTTTTACAAGCTAATGTTATTCACTCTATAATATGTTAACAATGAACAAATCTTAAAACAATCGAAGTAATTTTTTATTTTATTCTTAATAAATAAATATCGGAGTTACTTTTAACCTAAAACTTTCATCTCTAATGCTGTGTATATGAAATTTACTTCACAAATGTTTGGTAAAATTACTATACAATTGTACACGTAAAAAACTTCCATTACTTGTACATAAAAATTACTAAAGCAATTTTTACAGTTAATCTACTGCATTCTACTTACATTTATAGCATGAAATGGAATTCTGAAAGTATTGTCAGACATAATTTTATATCTACAAAATCACGTCATGATATGACTAGATAGAAAGAATAATTAAATAGGCTTTACACAAAAGATTCTCAATAGATTACGTCAAAGCTGCATGATCGAATAAAAAAAATAGTTTTCACAGCAATATTCGTGTTATTTAAAGATAACAAATATGTTAAGTTACATACCAATCATTCTATCATTTTTTTATGTGGAAGAATAAATATGCCGATGATAAAAGTATAATATCAAGATTATTGATAATCGTCAGAAGAAACAATCAAATTCATCATCACTGCAGATTCATTTGTTCATTATTTCAATTTTTTGTATTATTTTTCATTGATTCGATTACGAAAAGATTAAATTTTTATTGATGATATCGTAATAAGTACTTTTTACAATAAATCATTAATTAATGACTAGTAAATTGTAGAAATTATAAGTATCTTTTAAAATAAAATAATGAAGTACTTGGTATTTAGAAATGGTTATTGTTCAGTATTTAATACCATACTAACATTGATAAATAATTTATAGCTCAAATAGTACTCTCAAAGGTGGCCCTGTCTTTTAAACTTTACAAAATTCTTTAGATAAAAGTCTCATTAATATAACGAAATATGAGGTTTCGAATTTTCTAGGAAAATGTGTCAATTTAGTACAATTGCACTATCCATTTGATTAGAAGAGAAATTTTGACTATCAAGTTGGAAATATTTTTAGAATCATTTTAACATTTTTCATGATACTTCCAATTGAAAATTCACTTAATGTGACGTATGACATAACACTGAAAGATATAATAATCATACAATAGGTTTCATAGGTATATGTAGATAGAACGAATACGCTTGGAACATTGAAGATTAGATAATTTAACCAAGGAAGCATATGACGTCAGTTTATCAACCATTAAGT